AACCTGATGATGATGTACCTCAAGGCTCTCAAAACAAAACAAACAAACAAACAAACAACAACAAAACAGTGGCAGACACAATAGATGAGGTAGGAAATGATAATGCTCAGAAAAGAGATTAATGAAGCAGAGAGAGACTAAAAGAACAACACTAAAATGAACCAAACAAAGAGTTGGGTCTTGTGGTGGCATTTGCACAACCAAACATCAGCTATACTGCAGAGCTATAATGATAAAGGCAGACTGGTGGCACTGACATAAAAACAGATAGACAGACCAATGGAATAGAATAGAGATCCCAAAAACAAAATGCTAAAGATATGTCCATGTAATTTTTGACAAAGGAGGCAAAAATATACATAGGAAATTAGCCTATTAAATCATTCTAGCAAAACTAGATATCTTTCTGTAGAAGAATGAAATTAAATTTATCTTTTATCTTGTACAAAAATATGTCAAAATGAATCAAGGATCTTAACTTAAACCTGAAATGTTAAAAAATGTCTAGAAGACAGCATGAGGAATTCTCTGGAAGTTATTTTGATGAGAAGAAGTCCCTCAATAAACATCAGTAACACAGGGACCAGCCCCAAGTATCAACTGATGGGGCTGCATGAACATAGGAAGTTCAAACAGCAGAGCGAGTGGACAGCCCACGGAATGGGAGAGAATCTAACCAACCACACTTTAGACAAGGGCTGATAGCCAGAAATGACAAAGAATTACAGAAGTTAAATACCAAGGAAATAAAACTGCCAGTCAGCAATGGACTAACAAATCTAATACACAATCAAAATAATAATAATAATAATAAAAAACAAAACAAAAGAAAAACCTCCCATAAATGGCTTTTAAATATTTAAATGTTCAATGTTTCTAACCATCAAGGTAATGCAAATTTGAGACTTGTTTGAGACACTACCTATCCAAATCTGAATAACTTTCATCAAGAATTCTGACATTACGGGCTGGGGAGATAGCTCAGGCATTAAAGGCTAGGCCCATTACCGAAAATAAAGGAATTGTAACAAGAAATTTTGGAGTATATGCAGAAAGAGGAACCCCTGTTCACTGATGTTTGGGGGATGAAAGTGAGTACAAACAAAATTCAGTTTGGCGATTCCTCAAAAGACTAGAACCGTTATCCTGCTGTGTCACTCCTTGGCATGTGCCCAGAGAACACCTCACCCTATCACAGAGATATCTGCACCTCAAGATTACTGATGCTTTATTCACCTTACCCACATCCACACCATTTTTGTCTCTCTTGTTTGGAAAACGAATGGGCATTTAAATAATAATAATAAAACAAGATAAAATAAGATTAAAAAATTAGAATAGTAAAAAACAAACAGTAAAGAAGGAGCCAAAGAAAAAGCTCAAGAAACATATAAACACGGAGATATACAAGTTCATGTCTGCACACACGGGGATCCTATCAAAACACAACAAACAAACAAAAAATTCACAAGCTATAACATCTATGTCAAGGACCTGTAAGGCAAAGTTAATTATTTAATAAAATAATAAATAAGTACCCTAACAAAACATTATAACAAACCCCTCCAAAGATGCTATTAATTCATTTTGTGTTAGCCCTCTGTCTTCTTCTGGGTGTAGGCTCTGCCCTTAAGAGTGGTTGGTTTGTCCTGGAGATGCTCCCCCAACTCCTGACCCACATTCAGCTGCAGACTCCCACTCATTTTCATGGCCATCTGGCCATCTCTCCTGCCCTTCCTTGTACCTGATGCTGAATACCTCATTCTCCTCCCCATGCTCCTCCCTGTGCTCCCCCCCTTTCAGTTTCCTCCCTCCATCTGCCTCTTATGACTGTTTAATTCCCTCTTCTACATGAGAGTCAAGTTTCCTCTCATGAGCCTTCCTTCTTGTTTAGGTTCTTTGGGTCTGTGAAACACAACATGGTACCTGTACTTTATGCCTAAAACTTATAAGTGAGTACATACCATGCATGCCCTTTTGGGTCTGGGTTAACTCACTCAGGATGACAGTCTTAAGTTCCATCCATTTGCTGCAAAATTCATGATGTCTTTGATTTAATAGCTAAATAGTATTCAATTGTGTAGATGTACCACATTTTCTTTATCCATACTTCAGTTGAAGGATATCTAGGTTGTTTCCAGTTTCTGGCTATTATGAATAAAGCTGCTATGAACACAGCTGAGCAAGTGCCTTTATGGGATGTTGGAGCATCTTTTGGGTGCATGCCCAGGTGTGGTATACCTGGATCTCATGGGTAGTCCCAGTACCCACATTGAGGTCCACAACTCTGTCATACTAGCTCCAGCGATCCCATGCCTTCTTCTGGCCTCTAAAAGCACTAGGTATATACATGGTGCACATATACACATACAGGCAAACACTAATAGATGTAAAATAAACCTAATAAACTTTAAAGAAAAAGAATAAGGAGATATAGTATAAATGATCTTATTTTTATAATTAAATTTAAGTTTTCCATGAAGAAATAATTTTAAAATAGACTAAAAGTCAACATTATGTATGAATGGAAGGAACTTTTAAGAGTTTTATTTCATACAGAGCTTTTAGAAAGGATAAGTTGATGGAATCTTTCAAAAAATGATTCTACTTCTCTTTTACAGGAATTTAAGCCAATTTTAGTTAACAGATGCAACATCCAAATCAGACTTTTGAAGAAAAAACAGAGATCAAATAGAAAAAGATTTTAATGCAGTACCTTTCTCAGGAGTATGTATACTTTAAATACTATAGTCTAAAGAAATTTCCATCAAATGTGTGATTTCTTTTTGTTCTGAACTCCCAGGTGTCTTGTGTGGTATACTTATTTTTAAGTTTAATAACTTCTCAGCAGCCTGCATCACTTCTCTCAGTAAATACCTGTCACCATTTATATACATTTACCATTAACATGCAAAAGTGACAGAAATGTAAATTACTTCTCACAGTTACTGCATGTTAATGATTACCAAATTAGGATTTTTATCTTAGGCCCTGTTTTAACTTGAAACAGCCATAACATACTGTACACATGATCTGTCCTGATAACAAATTATCATGCTTGATGGAAGATGACTTTAGAACACTTATTTTCCATTTTGCATGTAAATGAAAATGTTCCTATATTTTATTCTCATAAAACTACATATCCTTTGGGGCTAATTAAAAATAATCATGACAATATGTAATTTTCTATTATCTATACTTTTGGTCTACTTATAAATTTATTAGAAAATAGATTAATAGAAACAAAATTATAAGCCTATCATAAAATTAAAAATAATTTACATGAAAAACTTTTATTAAATCTCACAATTTGTACAAATTAAAAATGTTTCATGCATTTTTCAGTATGTGTGTCGAATGTATGGCTGTGTGGGAGTATGCCTATGTGGGTGTATTCCTGTGCGGGTGTATACCTTTGTAAGTACATAACTGTGTAGGTGTATGGCTTTGTAGATATATGACTGTGTGAGTGGATACCTGTGTAGGTATATGACTGTGTAGGTGTATACCTGTGTAGGTATATGACTGTGTAGGTGTATACCTGTGTAGGTATGTGACTGTGTAGGTGT